GTGTGTGAGAAAGAGAGAGAGAGCGCAATATCTACAATACACTGTATAGAAATGTCCAGTCAGTTCAGCAGAAATGAGCACATGACCACTGTGTACAAGTCTGGTGCGGAGATACAATCATACACAATTTGTTTTGTGTATGTGTGTGTGTTTGTGTGCGTGTGTGCGTCTGTCTGCCTGTGTAGTGTTTAGGAGTCATCTCCGTTGGCGCTATCGCCGTCGTCCTCTCCTTCCTCCTGCTCGCCTTCCTCCTCCTCGTCCTCATCGTCATCTTCCTCCCTCCCTCTGCTTTTAATCTGCACAGAGTGGGAACGGGGACAAATAACACTTCATCACATGCAGTAAACGATATAAGAGGATAATTGGGTTTTAAAAAAAGGATGGAATTGCTTAAGGTTTTGGACAATTGTTAAAAAAAAGCAATGTTAAGAAATCATCTTTGGCTCTGTGAATTTTTTTTTCTATAATTACATATACATTTATAGACTGACTTACTGAGTGATCAACTGACTGAAACAAAAAAAATATTAAAGCTATTTGCTTAAAAAGTCTCCTCATCCCCGCTCCTCACCTCGTCTTCGTCCTCCAGCAGATCTCCCTCCTCCTCGGAGTCGTTCAGCTCCTGGCTCTCTCTGTCCCGTTTCAGGCTGTCGTCTTTCTTGCTGGAGGTGGAGGAGTTGAGGGAGGACACCTCACCAGGTTCCGATTTGCTGCTCTTCATCTCTGAGTAAATGGAGGGAGGCGGCCGGGGGGATAAAAAAAACAAAGAGAGAAACTTACAAGGGAGGAAGGCATTTGTTCCTAGCTGCTACTGGTGCTAGTTAGCTTGAAAGATGTGAGGATTTTACATGACGGCAAAGGTTGGTTGGGTCACCCTTAAATGAAAGACTTCAGTACATTGTATTGGAAGAAACTTGTATATTCAAAAATTGAGTATGACCCTTCATGACTCATGCTAGTGCAGAATGAGTCACAGATCTTGTGTGTTGTGAAGGGGGGGGGGG